ATTCATTCATTTATTAAAGATTTCTATCTCTTCCCCACCACCGCCTCCCATTTCCCTCCCCTCCCCGAATCAAGTGCCCCTCCCTTGTCAGCCCAAAGAGCAATCAGGGTTCCCTGCCCTGTGGGAAGTCCAAGGACCACCCACCTCCATTCAGGTCTAGTAAGGTGAGCATCCAAACTGCCTAGGCTCCCACAAAGCCAATACGTGCAGTAGGATCAAAAGCCCATTGACATTGTTCTTGAGTTCTCAGTAGTCCTCCTTGTCCGCTATGTTCAGCGAGACCGGTTTTATCCCGGGCTTTTTACAGACCCAGGCCAGCTGGCGTCGGTGAGTCCCCGATAGAACATCCCCATTGTCTCAGTGTGTGGGTGCCCCCCTCGCGGTCCTGAGTTCCTTGTTGTGCTCTCTCTGCTTCTGCTCCTGATTTGGACCTTGAGATTTCAGTCCGGTGCTCCAATGTGGGTCTCTGTCTCTGTCTCCTTTCATCACCTGATGAAGGTTAATATTCAGGAGGATGACTATATGTTTTTCTTTGGGTTCTCCTTCTTATTTAGCTTCTCTAAGAACCCGAATTATAAGCTCAATGTCCTTTATTTATGGCTAGAAACCAAATATGAGTGAGTACATCCCATGTTCCTCTTTTTGGGTCTGGCTTACCTCACTCAGGATAGTGTTTTCTATTTCCATCCATTTGCCTGCAAACTTCAAGAAGTCCTTGTTTTTTACTGCTGAGTAGTACTCTAATATGTATATATTCCATACTTTCTTCATCCATTCTTCAATTGAAGGGCATCTAGGTTGTTTCCAGGTTCTGGTTATTACAAACAGTGCTGCTATGAACATAGTAGAGCACATACTTTTGTTGTATGATAAGGCCTCTCTTGGGTAAATTCCCAAGAGTGGTTTTGCTGGGTCCAGCGGTAGGTTGATCCCGAATTTCCTGAGAAACCACACTGCTTTCCAAAGTGGTTGCACGAGTTTACATTCCCACCAGCAATGGAAGAGTGTACCCCTTTCTCCACAACCTCTCCAGCAAAGGCTATCATTGGTGGTTTTTATTTTCGCCATTCTGACAGGTGTAAGATGGTATCTTAAAGTTGTCTTGATTTGCATTTCCCTGATCGCTAAGGAAGTTGAGCATGACCTTAGGTGTCTTTGGGCCATTTGAACTTCTTCTGTTGAGAGAGCTCTGTTCAGCTCAGTGCCCCATTTTATAATTGGGTTGATTAGCCTTTTACGGTCTAGTTTCTTGAGTTCTTTTTATATTTTGGAGATCAGACCTTTGTCAGTTGCGGGGTTGGTGAAGATCTTCTCCCAGTCAGTGGGTTGCCTTTCTGTCTTAGCAACAGTGTCCTTTGCTTTACAGAATCTTCTCAGTCTCTTAAGACACTTAGGATGGTGTGAGGGATTTCTTTAAATCAGAAGACTGAGAAGACTATAAATACAAAGTTGAGCATGTTTTGCTGTGGTGCTATTGCTTGATTTGGGATGGTCAGAACAAGCTGTTGGGTAAGAGGCCGAGGGTAGCAAGAATAGATCTAAGATTGGATGACCTCTTCTTAGCACCAGTGAAAAATACTGGAGCTGGATGGCATTTTCCTCACCTAGTGATGGAGCGATTGCCCTCTAAGAAATCCCTTTAGAAATGTAGCAGGAAAGAGATTTACATTATCTGGGCTCTAAGTGGCCTGTCTTCTGATAATCTTAAGGAGTTCTGCTGTGAAGTCTCACTTTGTAAAAATAGACAGAATCTGAGAACTCAGAGCAAATAGTTCTGGTCACAGCTCACAAAGGAACTTATGGAACGACTTTTATTTGTATTTTGAAATCCAGTAATGAAAACCTTTGCTGAGTCCTGGAGCAACTGGCATCACTAGTGTAATAGATGACATGTTAGCATCTTAGAAATAACAGGGTCACTACAGTGTTTGGATTTATTTGAAAATCAGCATATAAAGTCATTTCACACAGGAAGGCTGAACTATGTTTTCTATTCATAATTATATATATATATATGTGCATATATACACAAATTTTTAAAATTTCTTATTTTTCATATCAAACCCAGTTCCCACTCTCACCCTTTCTCTTGCTCCCCACACCTTCCTCCCCACCACACACCCTGTCCACTCTTCAGAGAGGGTAAGGCTTCCATAGAGAGTCAGCAAAGTCTGGCATATCATTTTGAGGCAGGACCAAGGCCCTTCCCCCTATATCTGGGCTGAGTAAGGTATCCCTCCAAAGAGAATGGGCTTCAAAAACCCCATTCAAACACTAAGGATAAGTTCTGGTCCCACTGCCAGTGGCTTCACAGACTATCCCAGCTACACAACTGTCACCCACATTCAGAGAACCTAGTTTGGTCTTATGCAGATTCTCCTGTTGTGAGTCTGGGGTCAGTGAGTTACCACTAGCTCGGGTCAGGTGTTTCTGTGGGTTTCCTCATCATGGTCCTCACCCTTTTGTTCATATTGCTCTTCACTCTCTTCAGCTGGAGTCTGGGTGCTCACCCCAGTGTTTAGCTGTGAATCTCTACATCTGCTTCCATTAGTTACTGAATGAAGATTCTATGATGACAATTAAAGTAGTCATCAATCTGATTACAGGGGAAGGCCAGTTCAGGTACCCTGTCTTCTACTGCTTAAGGTCATTGCTGGATTCCTAGAAAGATCCCTAGTGGCAGGTTTCTTGATAGCCCCATAATGGCTCCCTCAATCTAGGTATGTCTTTGCTTTCTCTGTCCTTCCCTCATCTCGGCCATCCTGTCCCTTCATGTTCTCCTCCCCCTTTTTCTTCTCCTCTCTCTTTTCTCTGCTATCCCTCCTCCCAATTTTCTCAAGAGAACTTGTCTATTTCTCTTTCCAAAAGGGATCCATGCATCTCTCTCTTAGGGTTCGCCTTGTTACCTAGCTTCTCTGGGGTCATGGTCTATAGACTGGTTATCTTTTGCTTTATGTCTAATACCCACTTATGACATTACACATCCATGTAGGTTATAAGGGAAAATCCATATAACTGTCACTGCTACCAGCGAAGCAGCTGTAATATTTCTTTGTCTCATATAGATCTTGACAGTGGTAACTGGCCAAATTATCTTCAATTTGCTACAGACGTAAAATTATTTTGAAGTAGAAAGATATAGCCATGCACTGAAAATAACAGAACAGCAAACCTAGTATGTCTGATTTGATTGATCTGCACATTTATAATACTCTGAACATTTTAAAATGTTGACATATTTAAATGTCATTGCCAGATGGATAGTTTTACCATTATAAATAGATCATTTGTATTAGCCTTAAATTATACATAAGGATACAAAGTAAAAGAGAAATAATTATCCATACTTATCCTTTCTGCCTCGCAGACAGACACACATATGTTGGAGTACTGGTATTGTTCCAAGACTAGTTAGAGATACTTGTCAAGAGACATTGTAATATAAGGGAAGGCTGGGAGATTGAAATCATGTAGGAACTGGGTCTACATCAAGAAGAGCCCCAGGACATCAGACAGAAACTTGGAACTCTTAAAGGCTTGGAAATACCTCTTGCATTTTACATGGTGTTAAAAAGAAGAAACAGAGGCTTAAGATGCAGACCAAGGGAATTAAAAAGGAGGAGAAACTCAGGAGAGGATGATGTCTTCAAGTTACAGAGACATTTAATTAAGTAGGTGACGACACTGTTTCAGGTCAAGTAAGTTAATCAGTAAATGAATACATGTGGAGATCACTGCTGATTTTGTCAAAGCAGTTTAGAGAAATGGCAACAAAGGAACCACGGTTGGTGAGATCATAAGCAGAATGTTGAATGGAAAATACACTGGAGAAGTAAGTGGAATATGTTGATTCTCCTACTGAACTTATAGAAATATTTGGGTAATAAGTTTAGAAATGACTGAAATCAGTTTGCTTCAAAAAGAAAATTAGGAATGCGTAGATTTGAACACCATATTTCACTTGCCCATAAATTGGGGGGGGGAGAGAAAAAAGAAACAGAAAACACAGAGAATAAAAAAAAAAACATAATGTGGAAAAGAGAAAGTTGGTATAAAAAAAGGTGTAAGAATAAAAAAAAACCCTAGACTGTTTTTAAAAAGTACATCCTCATTGTACTTGTAGGAATATGTAGAAATGTGTAAATCATATTTTTTGTTTTATCTATAGCCATTAATACACATATTTTTCTATTTGGATATATATATATATATATATATATATATATATTGCTAATTTCAAAGACAAGCTAGCGTTTCTATATTACTAAAAAGCAATCTAAACCTGTAAGGTAGTGCAACGTTGTTGCGTGAATGATAAAACTGAATCCTAATTGACCTGTGTTAAGGCGACAGAGATGGGAGGACGTGACCAGAAAGCTCCTTTCCCAACTTGACTCTCTGACTTTGATACAACTCCTGTCAACAGTGGGTCATAGTCATTAAAGCCTTTCACTTCCAAATAACATGTACTTCTTTAAAAAAAATGACTATAGTCAAGGATACAGCATGAAATAAAACATAGTTTTGTTTGCGTCCTCCCTCATTTGAGTTACCGCTTTTTACCCTTGAATATGATAAATAGAAGAACTTAGCCTCAACATATGTTAAAGAAAAAAATTAATGCAGCAGATTGCCTTATAAGTCATTGAATGTAAAACATATGTTACAATATAGTAATAAAAGCCACCCCATTTTAATAATTACTTAAAGTTATTATTAAGGAGTAGGGAGATGAGAGAAAATATAATTGATTCTGCGAAACAAAGGTGATTACTCTATTTAGTACATAAATCAACTATAGTTACTCAAAAGAGAATTTTAACGTTTTGTAATCTGTCTCTTAATAAAAACATTCCAGCATCTGTTTTATATCATGAATGAATAAAATATGTCCACATGAGCAGAATACATTGACCTTTACTTTTTGTGTTTAATTGTTTTAAAAGGTCGTTAAGAAAAAGAAATGTTTCAGAATCTCTTTTTGTTTTAGTTACAACCGAAATTCTCCCCAGTTGCTGGTTGGAGGACCAGACCTATACATCAGTGCATTTTAACGTCCCAGGAACTGTGAAGGAAGAGGGAAATTTGCCTTGAATATTAAAAACCATGCTTGAAATGAAAGGAAAATTCTCCTGCGGTGAACTTCATAGGTGACAAGGTGCTGCAATTGTTGGAGGGGTTGGAATTGGAGCCAACAGCGCATCTATCTTACAGAAGACTAAAAACCCGACAGCAAAGATTGGGTCAATCCATTCCTGTGAGGGGCAGTGACCAATAGAAAAGGAAGGAGAAGATCCAAGAAAGCTGAGGTAAGCTGTCCTGAGCCCTGTCAGAGTGGAAACAATACATCAAGAGGTCTTCATGGTGGCCAGTCACCATACATTTCATTTTTTTCTGATTGGAGGTTTAACAGCATAAAGTCAAAGCAAAAAGTTTTCTCTCTTTTATCACCCCCTCCCCCATCAACTTCTTTTACCTAGCGTCAGACCAGCCACGGGACTCGACCAATTATTCCTGGAAAGCAAGGTAAACTCTTTTGTACTTTTTACAACTTTTGGTTTGGATATTCAGAGTTCTCATTCAAAAGACGCAGTGTTATATTTTCAATAACTAATTGCAAGTCTCCACTCTGAAAAGAAAAATGAGCTTGTCTCTGTTGGAAGCAGTCCAGAGAAGAATTCTGCATTCAGAGGCAGTCTGACAGCTTGCAGAAGCGATTCTGAACTAATGGGACGGATGAAAAACCAGCATTCCATTAATGAGGGATTTTATTTTATGTCCCTTGGAATCGGTAAAATGCATTCTTGCTTATCATTGGTTGATTTAGCTAAATGCACATTGAGGAAACTGTAAATTTTATGTATGTATATGTAACACATGTTATAAGCTAACATTTAAAATAGGTACTATGCATCTATTTTTCCTCTGACAGTAGTTCTTTTTGAATATTATATTTGGTGCTATTCAATGGATGAAAGTTTATTTCTTCTTAAAAGAAATATCATACATCAGAAACTATCAACTATATATTTGGTAAATCTGTACTGGATATACAAATATAAGGGAATTTTTGACTTATGTTCTAAATAGTTTTTGTTCTTATCCTAATTAATTATACCATAGGTAAATAAATATATGTCAAAATTATATAACTGACATGTTAGCTCTATATAATCTGTTATATATGGTCATGAGCATATATATCCATTTGTACAAAAAATAAAGACAGTCTATGTAAGTGAGATTATATAGTTATGTGAGAAATTAATAATTCTGCTTCCTGGCTGAACATCTTGATTTGATCCTGCACCTAAAGTTACACAAGCTCTTTTCCTAAAGTAAAGCTTACCTGAAAAATTCAGCAACAGAACCAGAGATGAATCACAAACTTTACTTCAGGTCCTAGAACCATCCTTCGCCATAAACTTCTAAATTGACCTTTGATCTCTATATTTCTTTGGTCTTAGGGCCAAAGAGCCTGGGAAATCACCTCCAGATGTTATTCTCATTTATGGGTTAAAAATAAAAGCACATACATATGCACACCTCTTAGGAACAGCGCGCAGGCATCTCTTCATTTATTAGAACACATTTTGTTCTCTTATACGCAACTACTGGTTCCAGTAAAGTTTCTCAAGTTAATAGCTTGAAATGGAAAAGCACTTAGAGTCACTAAACTTTGCTTTCCATTTCTCAGCTTTCACTATGACTCAGTTAAACCCAGATAGCTTTAGGACTTTGAATCTGTCTCAGTGTCTGTAAAGTCCTTTGCCTGTGCTTGGTTCTCAATAAATGTGTATTAATAGCTATGCATGGATTAGAAGTTAATATTCTATTCTCAGCTTAAGCTTGAAGAAACAATGCTTTCTAGGTTGATTTTTTTTGCCAGTATTTAAAGGTCAATGAACGATCTAACATTTACATTTCTTACTTTGCAGGTACTAGAATGGCAATCTCAACCTGTTTGATGATCTGGGTGTTCCTCATAGCAGAGACTGTGTGGACACAGAGAGTGAGGCAGGCCTATGAGGTACAGGACCCAGAAGACTGGGATGTGCATGATGACTTCTATTGTCCTAGGGAATGTTTCTGTCCCCCGAGTTTCCCTACAGCCTTATACTGTGAGAACAGAGGTCTCACAGAAATCCCCATTATTCCTTCAAGGATCTGGTACCTCTACCTGGAAAACAACCAGATAGAAACCATACCTGAGAAACCATTTGAGAATGCCACCCAGTTAAGATGGATCAATTTAAATAAGAACAAAATAACCAACTATGGGATTGAGAAGGGGGCCCTGAGCCAGCTAAAGAAGCTTCTTTTCCTGTTTCTGGAAGACAACGAGCTGGAGGAGGTACCTTCTCCGTTGCCAAGAAGTTTGGAACAATTACAGTTAGCTAGAAACAAGGTATCCAGAATCCCTCAGGGGACCTTCAGTAACCTGGAAAACCTGACCCTTCTTGACCTGCAGCATAACAAACTTATAGATAACGCCTTTCAAAGAGATACCTTCAAGGGGCTTAAGAACCTCATGCAGCTTAACATGGCCAAGAATGCCCTGAGGAACATGCCGCCGAGATTACCAGCCAACACCATGCAACTGTTTCTGGATAACAACTCCATTGAAGCAATACCTGAAAATTATTTCAATGTGATTCCTAAAGTGGCCTTCCTGAGACTCAACCACAACAAACTATCTGATGCCGGCCTCCCATCCAGAGGTTTCGACGTGTCGTCCATTCTAGATCTTCAACTGTCTCACAATCAGCTCACAAACTTTCCCCGAATTAGTGCAAACCTGCAGCACCTTCACCTCGATCACAACAAAATTAAAAGTAAGTAGCCATGAGGATATGCCTCTGCCCAAAATGCGCACCATGATGTTCAGTCTCTATCCCTTGTAAGCATAGCAATTGGGTCTTTACCCCCACCAACACACAACTCATGGGCTTTTAGAACTGACAAGTTATTTTCAATTTTCATTGCACAATTTTGGCGATCCAGCCAAATAAATGAAAATTCCCATATCTTCAGGTTCAGGATTGAAAACTGAATCTTAGTCATTTACACAGAACTTTTACCTATGGGAGAAAGGAAACACCTCTGTTTTCTTTGCTGAGGAGAGATTCTGGTATTTCTCCCTCTGTGGATAGACATCACTTACACCTTAACACGTCTCTCAGGGTGGCATTGAACACCAACCAGATCAACTTCCTGTCCCAGTGTATGAGTACCAGGAATATAGGATTGTGCCACCATGCCTGGCAATCTATGGGGTAAATTTGTTGAAGAAACTATGTAAAGCACAATTTCATAAGTGATATATAGGACAGGATATAAGGGATTACAGAAGGCTTGATGCCTGAACCTCCCTAAGTGTCATCATGACCACAAAGTCCAACCTAGAGTGGATTTCAGAGTGTGTTTTGCAGTTTCCCCACACCCACCCAAGAGTTTCTGAGTCACTAGGTCTTGGGTAGGACTTCTGACTCTCAACAAGTTCCCAGATTCTGGTCCTGATGCTGTGGGGAAACACACATAGATAACATTACTACGGATGCTCAAGATTTTAGAGACTTGAAATGGTAGCAAGTGCCCTGGGAACTGGTAATCATTAGGTCTTAGTGACATATCCACAGTGAGGAAAATACTATTCTTTCTTGAAAACGGCTTTGGATATGGAGTGGAGAGTGAATAAGGGTGAAGTCTTTCAAAGCAAAGATGCTATTGAGGGATGAAATGGTTACGAAAAGTAAATGTTTGCAAACATTTGAGATGAACTCCACCTGTTCATAGTTATGTCAGGCTGTTTCGGGTGGGGAAACTAAGCAATTTTACATTCCAGGCTTGGGTACTGGTACACAGCCTAAGATTCATCTTCAATTCCAACCCAAGTATTTTGGGAGGATAACCAGGGGGAGATTCTTTTGGGAAAGTTGTTCTTTAAAAATGCAGTCTTGAAGTGAGAGTTGATGAAAATGGGTTGTAAAAAGCAAACCAGCTGAGTGCCGTGGGTTTATTATCATTCACTAATGATTCATTAAGTGTAGGATCACATGACCATTCCATTACAGGATTGCAACATCTTCCTGCTGGGCACTGGTTCGACATCACAGATTTCTGTTTTCATTATTGTCACCATGTACTCGAGCCTAAAATTCTGGATCTGAATGGCATGCCGCCGCTCCAGTAGTTACTTTTTCCCCTTTGGTGAGGAAATGTACCATTTAATACTCCAGTCAGAAGAAAGAGAAACAACGTAGAAAAACTGTTAGATGGTTCTGTCTAGTTGAGCCAAACATCATTATGCCTAAGGAGGACACTGGGTTTTTTTTTTCCTATTGAGAGGTAAGCTCCTATTGTAGATAAGGGGCATTTCTTATCTACAATAAAACCCCACAGATAAATGAGTGGGGAGTTAATTTCAGGTGGTTAAACCAACACAGACTTTTGTATGTGAGTTGCAGATGCTGGGAACTTGAGCTAAAGTCTTCAGCAGTGAGAAGCCAGCACTGGGAAGAAGGTTGAGAAGTAAATCATTGTGTACTCTCCTGAAATTTCGCAGAGGGTTTCCAAAGGCTGCGAAATTCATTCCAATATTTCAATCAGGCTTATATATTAGCCTGTGTCAGACTCAACTGAGTTTGTGAATAATTGAAGGGATTCCCCCACCCCAGACATTTATGACCTGAGGCTTCTGAAGTGGAGCCTAACAGTTCAGGTCTGAAATCGTATCGTTGTTTCTTGATCACGGTTGGAGAAACTTGAGATCTACCAATAGCCTTGTGTGATGTTGGGAAGTTCAAGGAGGAAACTCAAGCACAGGTGGGTGAGAGCAGCTGTCCAAAGACACAGAGTAACTGCACAGCCCAAATCAGGGAGAGGCTTCAGTCTTTCACCTTGAACAAAATGAAGCCATCTCTGCTCATTTCACACACTGAACCTAGTTTTGTTGACCATAATAGCAAATATAGAAATGGACTCCCTTTGTTGAGAATCATGGGAAGAGGTGTCTATCAATCACATTGTGAAATAACAGTTGTTAATGTATTCATTTCTTGCCACATATTCTAGCTGTTAGAAATTGTTTGCAAGAAAGAGAACTTTCATATGAAGAGTCCATTGAGATTTCCAGTGGGCTTTCCTTTTGTGACCTTGGGAAAACATGCATTTTCTCTGAACATGATAGAGGCTTGAAGTTTAGCATAAAATATGCATATACTCCCATAAATTACTTCTCTACATTCTCTGAGAAAAATCCTACATTATAGAAAATGATTAAATTTAGAACTCCTGCTTCTTTCTCATATTCAAATTATTTGGGTATACTAGATAAGATATATGGGAGAGATAAGGATATTAAATAAGGCACTGAATGAAACACAGTAACCCTGGTGGGCAAGAATCCCAAGTTAAAGAAATGATGCTGTCTGAGCCAACTTTTTATACAATAGAAAGGTAGAAAGTGTAGTCATATTTTCTGGTAAAGTCTGTATGAGGATAAAGTAATTGTGTATGCACAAAATAAATATAACCACAAATCTGATTTACATATGTGAGTCACTGTTTATATCAAGTTAATTCACAAGATAATGTAATGTTTGAACAAAATAGCCATGATCCAAGCATAAAATCTCTTAAAATTCTATTGTCAATTTGTTTGCACCATTAGGAAATAGGGCAGAGATGTCCCCCAAGTTAGGTGGGTATAGTGGAAAAAGTGCTCTTGTTCATTTTTGGACAGAAGCAGAACACATGGAATCGTGCTTGAGATCATCTGATCCAAGCTTCTCTGAGTTTTGGGTAAGTAACAGCCCTTCACTCTAGAGAACACTCTCAGTGTGGCTGTGGGTGCCATGAGCAAGGCAGGTGCTCATTCTCCCATTAATAGTAGATGGCAAGGTTGATGTGATAGTTCCTGGCCTCAATCCTCTGTAACTAAACTGTTAGCAAATGCCTTCTCTCCAACTAAGTATATCTATGTGGAGGGATCCATGACTTTAAGTATTATATTAGAATTATGATAAATATGTTATATAATACCATATATTATTTGGAATATTTTAAGGTAACATCACAGCATTTCATCCTTTCAAGAACTCTTCCAGCCATCAGTCAACACACCTACCTTTGTACCAGGTCTACCTGCTGTCTCTGCCTTTAATCCTTTGAATACGTTTCTCAGTTTTGCATAGTAAGGCAATTTTGTCCTTCTTCATCTCACCTGTAAACTTAGAAAATAACTGAGATATCTTACTTACCTTGGATCTATCACTGTGTACATCAATATTTCCCATTATAAGGGGCCATTTGTTTGTTCCCAAATGCTCATCCCCAAAGTAATCACTCAGAATCTGTATCATTTGTAATACTGTTTGGTCAATAGGTTAAGTGTATTGCTAGCTAGCTATTACATCTAGAATTAACCCGTTTTCATTATTTTATATTTTACCATGAGGCTTTTGGCCTACTGGAAAAGTTCCACAGTAGGCACCTTACTCGTATCTTTTTCCTCTGGCAGGTACATGGCATCTCTTTACTCTGCCTTCTTTCTCCCAGCATTCAAATTAGTTTTCCCCACCTACCTCTACTCTACCCTATCACGGACCAAGACAGCTTCTTTATTCAGTAACCAATAAAAGCAAAACATATGCAGAAGGACTTCCTATAGCAATTTCCTTTGTAATATTCCATACTAAAATACAACAGGGCATAGAGTGAGAATACTGTACCTGTTATGTCAAACTTTTTCCAGGATTATTCTTATGAAACCTTATTGGACAATGGTTTGTATATCTATAGCTTTCATTACTTAAGGTCATTTGGTCCCTTACGGCCACTGCATTATTTTTTTTTTTATCTTGACCCTCAGACTTTCTGGTGCTTCAATTTAATCATTCACGCTATCTTTCCCTCCACAGATGTGAACATGTCAGTAATATGTCCCACCACACTGCGTGCAGAACAGGATGCCTTCATTCATGGACCCCAACTGAGCTACCTGCGCTTGGACGGAAATGAAATCAAGCCACCAATCCCAATGGACTTAGTGACATGCTTCAAGCTGCTTCAGGCCTTCATTATCTAAACAGCCGCCAAACCCACACTGGATTAAGAGTAGATGAGTGTGGAATGAAATTTGGTTGTTTCTCTTAGGTTTAGGTCATAAGCCACACTTACAATTGTCTTAACCACTATTGGCATCTGTGTAGCTTACCGTTTCCATTGGGAGATGCTTTGGTCAGTGGCATCCAGGTGCCACTTGTATTCACTTGCTTTTCTCTGATTAACTAAACAGACACAGAGTTGAGGTAACTTCTCAACTCAAAGCTATTCTCATCTCTTTGCAGCTACTAATATCAAGTAAACTTTTTAATTGTTAAATATTCGAAATGATTTACTTGTCTATGACCAAGTTTATGTGTGATAGTAGTGTATATCTCCTATAAGCACAGCAATGAGACAGCAGTAGGAAGTTCTGAAAAAAATGAAAAACTAAATATGCGTTTGTGATAATTATCATGAACCTACTAGTCCAATGTCTCCAAATAGAAATATCTGGCCATTAGAGCTAAACAACAGAGAAAGCAGAAAGAGAGAGAGAGAGAGAGAGAGAGACAGAGAGAGAGAGAGAGAGAGAGAGAGAGAGAGAGAGAGAGAGAGATCTTCTAGTTACTTAGATTAAAGATGAAGTGTCAGACATTTGGGGTTAACTATAATTTGTTATATATATGTCTTTCTTAGATCTAATACTCTATTCCCCAGGAACTGAAGCCCTAAATTTTACAGTTATCATAACACAATTCTCATAACATAATTCTCATAACACAATTCTCATAGATACATAGTGTCTTAACAATGGAAATTCACACAAATTGCAAATTATTTAGTTCTTACTTTGCCCATGATTTTTTTTGGATTTTCTAAATAAAAATATCGAATGTTTTCTAACAAAATGGAAATGTGATATTTGCTTCAAGGACACTATTACTCACAACTTACATTGGAACAGAGAAAGTATAATACTTATAAATATTCAAAATACCATGATTTGAAAACATATTTTAGGATATTTGAATGGGTAAAATTTGTAAGGAATCAAATTCCATGTAAAGGAAGGTTTTCTAATATAACCATATCCTATTTTCTGCCATTTCTGTTACTAGCATTCACAGTAGTCTGAATGTTTTAAATGGAATATTCCAAAACCGAAGACATTATGAGTTTTAAGTTTTGCACCTTTCTGAGAATGGTAGGTTTTCACTGTTCTGATGCACCACAGTAAGGAAGTGAGCCATCCTTTCTCCAGTGAATCCATGCTGTAAACCCTACCCAGCCTTTAGTCACACAATAGCCATTTGAATTAAGAGACCTGCTGTCACAATATCATGACGTTCTTATCCAAATACCCTCTATGTGTGCACCACAAGGCTTGCATCCTTCACCTCACTTCATCTCATGCTGTAGACAGTGATGTCATCCCCAGTCTTTGCTACAGGAAGGGTGCCGTATAATAATTTGAGAAAGGAATGATATCAAATCACGTATTCCTGTAGACTGCTATTATTATACACATGCTCTCTCTCTGCATTAGTTGTTAGTGTGAATCTCTTTCTGTGCTTAACTTACAAATTCAACTGTTCTACAGGTACGTATGTAATGAAAGAAGACCGCATACTTATGGTTTAGGGCTCTCCATGGTTTTAGCCATCCACTATGGTCTCCAAATGCATATTTCACAGATAACAGGTGAATACCTAGATACGTAGATTTGCCCAACAGTTTATCTTGAAGCAATTACTATTGTTTAAAAAGAGACTGGGTGAGAAAAGATACAAAAACATGGCTAATCTGAGGTCTCATTGTGAAATATTCCTGCCAAACATTTGTAACTTTTTCCCTCCCTCTCCCTCATTACTCTTCTTTCCTCCCCCTCCCTTTCTCTCCCTGACCCCCACTCTATCTTCTCTTTCCACCCTCAGTATCTCTATCTTTATTCCCATACCTTTCTTCCAGCCTGCCTTTCTTGTGTTATCTTCCTGTATTTATTTCAAACATTTATTTGGCAGCTTGTGTGTGTGTCTGTGTGTCTTTGTGTCTGTAGGCACCCACAATCCAGACTGTGTTAAACCGGCAAGATCAAATTTTGTTCTGTTTTTACCATAGTGCATGGCATGCAGATTAGGTAATATCACAAAATCATGAAAGATTTTACTTGTAACAAATGTTTGCATTCTCCAATAAGTAATTAGTCACACTAATTTGATGAAGAATTTTCTAAAGAGATAATGGATAAGGAAACATATACAGAATAAAAAGTACTTAATAACTTACTTTATTTTCTTTATTTCCTTATTTTCTGGGAGAAAAGAATATTTCACATATAAAGACTGTGATCTTTGTACGAATTTAGGAATTACAGAAGACATTTAATATGTGAAGGATTATGTTCTTCAGGGGTAGTATCATGTAGTTGTGAAGACTATCAAGCATAAAGCTAAAATTTCCTAGTTCACATCTCAACTTTGCCATTTACTCTTGGTCAGAATTTTCAAATTCTCTGTTCTTCAGTTTCTTTTCACCTGTCAAATGGCGACAAGAAATAACACCCTCTTATAATGAGGATCTAAGGGAGTGTAAACAATGGAAGAATCTAGAAACTATCAGGACCTGGCAAATGCTGTATGATTTATCTGAACTATTGTGTGACATTTGAGGGAACCTACGATTGCATGTGAAGAAATCAGCTAGGATTTTACTCCCTTATACTTGTTAAATAAACAAAACAAACATGATTTAGAATATAGGAGTCTGGGAGTAGTGTTAGATAGAGCATCATACAGATTTGAGAACACGTGGAGGCATAATTGGCAGAAGTTGGTGATGGTTTTACAGAGGGAACTTAGAGGAAGGCAGATGTTAACATCTTTGTCTCAAATAATATGGTTCATGACAATACATTTACCCCCCAGAGAGATATATGCAGAGATCATTTCTTTTCAGGCAGCTTGAAATTGCTTTTATCCTATGCAACAGTTAAATCTAAGAAGAGATCTGCAAGGGAGATGGTGTTGACATTTTCTAGAGTTTTAAAAATATATCTGATGATTTTGGAATAACTCTGCATTGAAATATTTATAGAGTGCAGTTGGTTAGGGGCAGATGCTGGTGATACAGACATCATTCCAAGGACTGACCAAGGGAAGGTTGAGTAATCTCTATGTCAGCAATTTCTAAATATATGTCAAAGTTTTATAGTGGCCTCATTTCTGATGTCAATACATGTGACCACCAAGAGAAAAAAATTACCGAGCATTAATTTGGAAAATCAAGCTAAAACATTTTGAAACTAAAGGTCTTAATGAATGCTTATTTATTTTTTAATTTAAAACACAAAATAAAGCGTATTGCTGCATTCTATGCTTTCCCCGTGTAAGTAGCATGGACTTAGCACAATACACAAGGAGGAAAGGCACCAACAGACAGCAGCAGTAAGAAAGACACAATAATAGAATGGCAATGAATGTTAAAATTATTATGTTAAATAATATATGTGTCTAGGAGAGGTATGTTGTAATCCCAGCCTTTGAAACATCAAATCAGGAGAATACGAAGTTCAATACTTTAATCACAGCCACTAAGATTGTCTATTTAGAAAGAACAAAGTTTTTTTTTTTTTTTTTTTTTTTTTTTTTTTTTTTTTTTAACTAAGACAACTCTGAGGGATTTAGAAGATATGTCAGTAACCAGACTCAAAGACCAACTGTGGGAACAAAGTTTATCCTAGGGTACTCACCTACAAGTGTCAGAGACTAGAGACAGATATCAGTATGGATATTACTGTCAAATATGGATATCTGATTAACATATAAACATATGAGGAGACATTTTAGATTCAAAAGCTCTAAGAGCTACTGTGTCTGGGGATAGAAAGCTTATCGAACTATGAACACGTTTTAATTTTCTGAAGTTAAAAATACCACAGAGATTCTGCAACTCCCAAACTAATGCAAAGGAATGATAAAATCAGAGTATTTGTGGAGCCAAGAGGGAGCACGGAGCAGAAAGCTTAGCAATGCATCAGAAGCTTTTTAGGAGAAGCATGGGACATTGTGATTATAAACTGCTCTGGTGAAAATGATGACATTTCTAATTAGCCAGTGCTATTTACCATAGCCCCGATATTTGTCAAGTTCCTGTCGGATTCTAGGCACTGGACTCTCATCTATGAAACAGGGAGCAGTATCGTCTATCTTTCCGATCGAGAGAACAGATGTTGATTTTTTTTTTTTTGCCTGATGTGTCGAAAGCACCCAATAAAGAGTAAGTCAGAATTTTATTATGTGCTGGCACTCAGATGTGAAATTTTAAGGATTTTCCTTTCCAAATAAGAGCACTGTACAAAGTCAGAATGGGGGAGAGAAAGGGGTTCAAACTGATTGAAATTAAAGGTTTGAAATTTTGATGAAGGGAAGATTGAAGGGCGATTACAGCTGTGGAGCTGGAGGACAATGAGGTTGTGTTGGATCATGAAAGCAATTCATTTAGCAGAGAACAGACCGAGGGCTCTGTGGAATTAAATACAGGTTGATGGAGATTGTGGTACATACACGCCAGAAGAAAAGCTATTTGAGCCTTAGATACTATAATTTGCAAAGTTTTAAATGGCCCAAGGCTAAGAAATGAAAAGGAGATCAGAGAAAATAAAATTCTAGAGGTTAGAAGAGCAAGCAAGCAAACTGTGCATAAGAATCTGATACAAGTTCTCACAGAAAAATCAGGATAAAATGATGATTTTTTTAAAAATAACACTAATAGCTTATGTACCTTGTAGTTCCCTACCATTTACCTGCTAAACTGTGAGTCAAAATTCAGCTTGACTAGTCTGGCCTCAGAACTCCAGCTTCTGACCAGGAGGTACGCTATATATCCCTTCTAATAAAATACTGTCATCTGTATTTTAAAATACATTTTTTTTTTCCTGGAAAGTGTAGGTTGAACCAATGAAACCCCAATCACTACCAGCTGTGCAGACCTTCCATGGAGTTATTTTTCAAGGTTCCTAGAGCCACATAATAATACACACTATTGTCACTGCTTTTGACTGCCTACCAAAACACAAAGGAAAGAAATTATTACTGACGACCCTTAAGCATTTGTTCATAAGTGTGGTGATTTGAAGGAGAAGGGTCCAATAGGCTCAGAGATTTGAATAGTTAGGGAGAACAGTGCAAGACAAAGATAATCAAAATGAACGTTATGAAAAATTTTCAAGAATCAATAAAACTATTATATTTAAAAGTTGTGCAAGTTTAAAAGTTTAGGACTTATTCATTATGGTAATCATACTGGCATTTAATTTGTGCGTCTTAAAACAAAATGCACTCAGCACAATCTATTGGAGTTAAATTACGGGGTAATATTGAATCCTTTTAATCATAATTATCCTAATAATAAATAAGTTAATGTAAATACAAAGAAAAGGAAAAACAGCCTAATTACTCTAAAGCAATATGTATCTGCAACTGATTATTAAAATACCAATCTAAACTGTGTACTTTTGGTCAGTTTCTGCAAAATATTTGAAGGATTGCCTATATTTAGAAGTAATTTATGATTCAGGAAAGGAGCAATATGTTTTATTTGCCAAAAGGGCTCTAGGAATATACTCTTTATGCATCTTAGATAGTAAGATACCTTGGTGAAAGTGATTCTATTTTGCGAAAACAAAAAAAAATTACTTTGATACTATTCCCTTTAATCCCAGCATTCAGGAGGGAGGCAGAGGTAGATGAATCTCTATGACCCAATTAGCCAGGGTTCTCCAAAGTAACGTAACTTACAGAATGAATCTCTCTCTCTCTCTCTCTCTCTCTCTCTCTCTCTCTCTCTCTCCCTCTTCTTATCTCTCCATAAATACATATTTATACATAGGAGGATTTATTGGAATGACTTACAGGCTTCAGCCCAATTCAATAACAGCTAGTTATTAAAGAAAAGGCCAAGAATCCATTAGTTTCTTAGTCCACTTTTAGATATCTGTCTGAGTTGGTCTTAGGTATACACTGGAGTCTTAATGAAGTATTCTCCAATGGCGGTGTAGAAATGGACTTGTTAGCAAAGTTATATCAAGTAGGCTAAGAGCAAAGGCTCCTGTTTTTCATGTGTTTATATAGACTTCCAGCAGATGGTGTGGCCCAGATGAGAGGTGCATTTTCCCAACCCAAATGATTTAGAATAAATCTGTGTTTTCCTAACTCAGGATCAGGATTAAATGTGTGTCTTTTCCTAGTTCAAATAATCTGCATTAATGGTGGGTATTTTGTTGTTGCTTGTTTGGTTTTTTCATAAGGTTATAGATTAGAAGTGGATTGCCCTACTTCAAATTAAGCAATAAAAATGGTGTGCCCTCCATTTTGGGGTTTTAGTTAATTCCAGTTGTAGTTAAGTTGACAACCAGGAATAACCAACACAGTGAATTTGGGACCAGACAAAAAACTACATAATGACTCTCTGCATGAAATATACATGGAAATATATTTATATATAATCAAAATCTTATACGTAAGTTTAATACAGAATTAAAAAGCTGCAGGCTCTTCTGTTTAAATTCCCATTTATTGGTCCAGTTTTAAAATATCCCTTCTCACTGACATTCAGCTGAGCAAACAAAATCAAAGTACAGAAAGGGACTCTTTGAGGTTTTAAAGGTTTCAGAAGACAAATCAAAAAATTTCCTGGAGAAAGATCAGAACAGTAAAATGACTAGCAGGAATGCTTGTTATTGTCTTGTTTTTCGCTTTGGCAGAAACTGTCAGGAAAGTTATAGACAATATACAATAGGGTGTCAGTGTTTGTGTCCAATGAGGGGGAAAAAAAACCTGCCATATGTTACATTTTCAGGCCCCTTTGCTTGCATTCAAAGGAAAGATTCAAAGCTGTTGGGCACAGCCACTGCAGACTGGCATCACTATATACTTGTAGATGTAGAGATTCTGCCTTAGAGCGATGGAAAGAGACGAACCAACAGGATTTCTGTGTAAGACATGCTACTTCTGAAAATTCAGATCACACGCTGTCCTTAAAGCAGTCTGAGGACAAAAGCACGAAAAACTGAATTACTTCAGATTGAAGATGGGAAGGTTATCAAGAAGAACCTCAGGGTGAGGCATCAGATACAAATGTGCCTACCCCAAAGCTTGAAATACAGATTTCCTGATTGTGACAGGAATGGCCATTATCCTCTGTTTCAGAAATGCATAAGAGAGTTAGCATTTTCCATCTTCTCAAAAGAAAGCAAGCAAATTAAAAGAGAGGATCTACCCATGGTTCA